ACCGAGCGGCTCCCACTCCCGTTTGTGTTTGTGTTTGTGTTTCTGTTCCCTTTCTCTGTCCTACTTATCTTTTTGGAATGAGGAGACCCCTTCTACTGTATGATCACCTGTTCTTCTGTTTCTCTGGTCTTGGTGTTTGAATTCTGAGAGGGTGAGTGAGTCTGAGGAGGACGCGGCCGTGGCCCCTGGTGTCCTAAGTGACAGCGACTCTCCAGCGCTAGGACGCGTAGACTAGACCTTGAAAGATAAGCGGCAGAGATTTCCCGTAAAGGCTGAGAAACTAGCCACAGGCGCATGGCCAGGAAGCTGCAGTCTATTCAGTTTCCTACTTTGTTCCCAAAGGGAATAGCGCTCTGGCTCTTTCCAAAATCCCATCCACAAATTCTCATCAAGAAACACATCGAGTCTCTCTTGACACTTTGTATTAACGTTGATTGGTGTTGAGAAAAGGTGAAAGAACGAGTACGTGAACCAGCATTGCTCACACAGCCAAGCGTTGGCGAGAAGCATGGCGGGTGAACACAGAACAGCCATAGTCATGGGGGTTTTTTGGTTATTTTTTTGTTTTAAGACATCTCAGACTTGAAAATGTCCTTTTAGACTAGTATTAGCCACCACCGATGGGAAACGAAATGCATGTTTTTACAACCCCCCCCCCCCACACACACACATAGGCACATAGCTAATTTCTTAATCTTTAAAGAACCTCTATAGCATTTTGCCACCAATTACTGAAGTAAATTGCTAGTTCTTCATTATTTTCCATTGATCTGTAAAGCTTCCTTAATTCATAAAACTGTCTACACTTTGCTGAGCATTTCCATTTCCATAATACAAGAGCAAAATCTGTCCTTTCTTGAAGCAAACAATTATTATTTTTAAGTCTTATATTTGCAATCCTGAATTGCTAATCTCTGGCTCATTGCATTACAAGAAGCATTGTTGCAGCAAATTATTTCCTGCATATTTGGGTCACATCATTCTGCCAAAAAACATAATGCTGAAAGAATTAGGCTGCAGGATTCAGTAGGGTGGAATTTAGTGGCAGTCTCTAAGAATTAGGCTCATCCTCTTCACTGGAACAGGAAGGCAAGTAAGGAAACTGTTTGCAGTTCTTTGGGGACAGTCACCAGTCAAATTCACGTTCCCTTGGGTGGGGCCAAGAGAGGCTTCAGAGGAGGGTGGTTAGAGCAACGCACGGTAGACAAGGTTTGCTTTAATACACGGGGATTAAAATGATCTCTGAGACCCTAGGGCTCCCCTTTTGAACACTGGGGTAATAATCATAGGAATGGCCCCAGCACTTTTGTCTTCAAAGCTGAACTTACCACAACAAAATACTTTGCATTCCATCCTAGAAGATGGCTAGAGAACAGGGGTTTTTGTCTTTCTGTGATTCTTGAGGGCTTTGGGTCTGAACCTGGTAGACAGCCTGTAGTGAGTAAAATCCAGCAACATGAATTTGTTACAGTCCTGGTGGATACATGTTACACTTTGCAAAGTGGTTTTACTTTAGTAAGCCTTTGAAGAAAGGCACCTGACCCAATTGGACAACAGCCTAGAATAATGTATAAATATATATAATATCTATATCTAAACCTATTTATAATAAAAAATACCATATAATAATACCATATATAAATTTACATCATTTTAAAGTTTAAGATCAAACTGAATTTAAACTTCCATTAGCATACAGTTTTGAAAAGTGGATAACTGGGAGCCAAGATAAGAATTAGCATTTGGAATATTATAAGTCAGCTGGAAGAGGAGAAGCATCCCCTTTTGCTTCTTACAAGGAGTTATTGGGGTAGGTCTTCGAACCTCCTGCAAAACCTGGGAGTCAGTGGCTTGAAGTTTGACGGCTGATCCCAGCAGCCATTAGTGTACATTCAATGCCTGTCTTCTCTGCAGTCTTCATGCTTATTTATGTATCCAAAACTCTGCCACACTATATACATTCTCACTTTTCCAATAGAGAAATAAACTGGTCACATCTCTTGCTGGAATCTTTTTTTCTTTTTTAATTTTAAGAGTGTTATCTCTGTAACAATATCCTATTGTATTACCATAAACATGTACAGCTGCTGCATTTCTGTGAACTGATAGGATTTTGTGGTCTTTCATTTAGGGCTTGGGTTTCCTAATGGATTGTATTAGATACCAGCCTCCATCCTGCCATTTCTAAGAACTGCTGTAATCAGCCCCAGGGTGTTCCCCACTGAAGACAATAGCAACTAGCTGCTTCTCTTGTATCATTTAACAAAATCTTTCATCCTCATTATTAAAATTGTGGACTTTCTTAATCTTAGAAAAAGGGCAAAAATTTCCCCATTCCTACATAAAAGATTTTCTGGCTAAATTCTACACCTTTAAATATTGAGAAGTGGATGGAAGACAGAGTGAATAATGTGTGTGCAGAACAGAATTTTTTGCCTTAGGTATGATGTACATTTTTTTTAAAGAAATATGTAAAATTAACTGTGCTGTAAATTATGCTTTATAATGACAGCCCGCTTCTTGGTGGATAGCATGCTGGGATCTAAAAATGGTCTCTAAGTTGAACCCAAATTGCATGCATAACTTCACAAAGAAAAATCCTTGTAAAAAAGGTAGCTAATTAGGAGCAGCATTCAGCTGACCTCTGTTTTGTGTCTGCGCAACACCTGCATTTGTGAATGTAAATTGGACAGCTGTGCCGTGGTTCCCCTGCTCTCCTCTTCACAAATGCTTGGGTCTAGAAGCAGGAACTGATTTTCTGCTCAAAAAACAAGGACAGAAATAGCCCAACTCTCAAAATGAAGGCCCACTGAAAACTGACTCTTTAAATTTCGTTTGCCTCTCGAACCTTCTTTCTCTTTGGGTTTGTTTGATGGAGTAGATTAAGAATGTCATATCCCTCTCTTACAAACCCTTGATGGCATGTAGCTTATATATTTAAACCAAATTAAAAATTTCATTTGAAGTCTTGTTTGGATTGCTGCAAGTGTGTAGGCTGTCTTCAGAATGCCTCTGCTAGGAGAAGACTGGGAATCGCGGCTGTGTTTGTTTCATGAACCTAAGGACTAGCTTACACATTTCTGGATGTCTGCTCAAGGAGTGTATAGTGTTAATTGATAATTGTATTTTGTGGAATCCTTATTCGCAACAGGCTCAATGGCTGCCTCAAACATTTTTGAAGCCTTGGGTAAGAAAAATACTTCTGTAGTCTATGGGCATAGGCCGAACAATGGGATGCCAGTCTCATTACTGGACGCACTAGAGACTTGTCAGGGAACTAATAGCTCACTCTTTCCCCAGTCCCTTTTGGAGGCCCCCAGTAAAGAAGAACTTGAGAACATGTCTAGCCTAGTGACTCACATAGGAGCTGGAAAGTTGCAGGGACTCCTTAGTGGTTTTTCAGGAAATGCTGAAGTGTTTAGTCCAACTAATACCAGTTTTACTTTGCACAGTAACAGACACTTAAAAATATTCTTTACTAAGGGAGTAATGGCTTGTAACCATTTCCCTTTAAGAACCAGAGTAATAAACAAGACTACAAATAGTAGTCATTTCCATATATCCTGGGTTTGTTTTTTTCCTTCTGCACGGGAACTATCCTGCCATCTAACATCCACAAATCAGGCAGGAAATAAAAACTCAAGACAGGTGGCCCGCGCAGGCAATGCCAAGGATGACTGTCTCCCGTCCGTGTTCAGATCTCAAATTTATGGCGTTCTTTATGGATTAGTGGCATTGATACTTCAGTAATAGTCACACATTCCCAAGAGCACCAAAATTTTGCTTCCTTGGTTTAGTTTTTACCTATTTTGAGACAAGAATAGGTAGAAATACTTCTTCAATATCATAATGTTGCTGTTCCCCCAACAAACCACAGTGGGAAGAAACCTGTTTGGATAAGAGAGGATAAGATGAATGAAAAATAAAAAGGTTATGTGAACAAACGACATTTACAGATGATGTCATTAAGATCTCCTAACAGTCATGATAATAATGAATATTCAATGAGGGGAATATTGTATAACAAGCACTTCTTTTACATTCAAACTGTATCCCTGGATGCACAGCTATCTCTTCTTAAAAGAGATCTCTTTTGGAAGAACCTGTTGCAAGTTAGCACATATCATCATATTATTTGGAGTTATATTTTATTTAGACTATTGGTCTNTCATCATATTATTTGGAGTTACATTTTATTTAGACTATTGGTCTGTTAAAGTTGAATATATCCTGGGAAAGATTCTCAGTTTCAGACTTAATTNTATTTTATTTAGACTATTGGTCTTTTTGTTAAAGTTGAATATATCCTGGGAAAGATTCTCAGTTTCAGACTTAATTATAGAACCTAGTAGTGCAGAAGAAATGTGTAACAATTGCCCTGTTAGTC